GTGTACTAGAGATCTAGTGAAGGCTCTGATTGCATATGTTATTCAGAAGTCGTCAATGTACACTATTCTACATGTTAGCTTCGAATCGCGTTGATCTAAATAATATATTCATCTAAATGATGTATATGTAGATATATTTATTGTTTGTTATATACCCGTCAATATTCTTCAGAAATTTTTCACAAAAATAAGTTATTTTATATATGAAAAGGAAGGGTATTTTAAAATTGTCCGAAAATATTTCCAAAGCTAATCTCTAGGACAACCGCATGACTAGAAAGACAAAAAACTAATACTCTAACATAATTGGTATCCCACAAGGTACTAAGACCAATATTATGTTTATAAAAAGTTTAAGCGAGATTAATATAATGTTTTATATTTGTTCTTTTCGGTTCCCATTTTTTGCCACTCCTTTCCAGCCTTACTTTTGTTTTCTATTTCTTTGATGAAATTAATACCGTCGATTGTTCTTTGTATTAATGGTTGTTTGAAGGATATTAACCATAAATAATTTTGTTTCTGTATCCAAATCTTTCACGGTCCTAATTGTGACACTTAATTCAACTTTTTCACCAATTTGAAGTTGCAATCTTTACCAGTCTGTATGTTTGTTCTTTAGTGATATTTTCACTCATTGTTAGGAATATTGGGGAGTAATCAGATACTAATTCTTTAACTTCTTTTATCTTTGTAAAATTTGCTGAATTTTTTCGGGAAATAAAAAAAGTCCAGGAGGTCCAGTATTTTGTTTATATCGCAAGACTTAACAAGAAGTTGTTAAGGTCTTCTCTTTTGAGATTATATCCGGGTGTAGAGTAGGCATGTGCAATATTAATAAGTACATATTTTTTTCTTTTTTCGTTTTACCAGATATGCCAACAGCTTGTATTTCTTTAATTTAACTTTATTTCTCGTTAATAGTGTGTTATGTTATTTTTAACCTAAATGTAAACACTCTTTGGTTTTCATTGGATATTTTACTGACGTTCATTGCTTTAAATTTAGCTTTAGCCAGTGAGTATATAGGCTATAGCAGTTCGGGGCCATTCCTTATGTAAATTAACACGGGAAATCGCTAAGGTTCAAAATAGCAATTTTTGTCTCTTTTAAGGTCATGAGTCGAGGATAACAGCTGTCAGTTGTCGAGTCATCTGTCAATAGTTATGCCAACTGTCAGTTGACAATCCAGTGTTGCCAACTGTTAGCTGTCCAAGATGGCGGCTATCGTATTCCAAATCCTGCGCAGTGGCCTGTGCCTGATTTAAACGGGTGGGGAAAACGGGGGAGTGTGAAGGAATTATTCAGCGATCTAACCTGCCATCGGTTACCTCATGATAGCGGAGGGGGGTTGGGGAGTGGAGACGTCATCTAACCTGTCTGTGATGCGACTCGACTTGCGACATAGCTAAGCGATCCAAGATGGCGACTATCGTATTTCAAATAAGAGATGCATCTCAGCTGCTATTGGCCTGATTCAAACGGGAAAATATCGTTGTGAAGAAAACGGGAACGTTGAAGAGAGTGCAGCAGCAATGCCAAACAGGCAACAGAGTTGTCAACTTAACAGGCATAAATGTTAAGGAACAACTGTCACATCCAACCTAACATTACGTTCAACAGGATAAGGAGGATAAGGAGGAGAAAGGAGCGGTGTGAAGAAGAGATGTGTTGGAGGAGAGAGGGATAGGAAGACGTTGTCGGGAAAAAATAGTGTAAGCGGTAATAGAAGAGATGTGTTGGAGGAGGATTTGGGGTGGTGAAGACCCAGTCGTCATCGACTCTGAAGGAGTATTAAAACTACTGGAGAAGCTGAAGAAGAAAAGGAAGAGTAAAACGTTGAAAGAGTGATATTCATAGAAATTCATAGAAAATCACAAAAAAGAATGGAAAAACATAGAAAATCATATAAATATTTAAAGAGTCATAGAATACACGCTGCTGCGTTGTCAAAGGGACCGTAGTTGGTCAGTACAGAAATTGTAATAACCAGAAAGTTGAAGGAGAAGAGGAGACATTACTTCTCTGGATGAAGAAATGTCAATGAATACGGGAAGGTAGCATTTTAGAGTTCAGTATTGAGAATAAGTTTAAGAAGAATGCGTAGGCATCGTTCGGAATCAGTGTTGTTATTGTAGTCATACATCATTGTCGTTTCCTTATTACTTACAAGTTAAATCTTCAATAAAAATACTCTTCGTTCATTATCGTATGTGATCATTAGTCATTGCCAAATGTCATTGTCCTATGTCATTGTCGTATGTCATTGTTATACGTAGTTGTCGTATGTCACCGTCGTTAAACAATTATCTTTATTAAAAAATAAATAAAACAGCAAATTAACAATTACAATGTACCATGATCGATTGTACTCAAATTATCTTCACAGATTCTTATTTAACATTTTCAACCTTAAAAATCATCTGTCAAACATTTAATACTTCTAGACTTCTTCTCTTTTCAAGCTGTCTACATAAAAATATGATATATGTCATCCGTCACTATTAAAATAACTTTTTTACTCACATTTTCCGTAATTATTTATATTTTATTGTTAAGTTTCTCGTACATATTTTTATATTAGAAACATCTTCTGGCTCTCAACCTAAAAATATGACTCGTTAAATCCCATAAAAAGGCCACATTCATTAGGTATTTTTTTAGATAGTAATTATTGATAATCATCCTCGTTTGTTGTAAATTTAGCATTTCTATACATTTTTCGTCTTTCAAATCTAAAAATATGACATCTGTCATGCGTCATTATTAATCTAAAAACTTTTGTAACTTACTTTCTTCTTCATTATTGACATTTTATTTTTTTAGTTTTGGTATTAATTTTTTGCATCATCTTCTGTCTTAAAAAATATGACATCTGTCTATAAATCCAATAAAAAAGGTCCCATTCTTAGACATTTAAACACACTTTTTCATTAATTATTGACATTACAATATGGTATCTTCGCTTATGTAGTTGCTTATATTGTATCTTTTATTGTCCTAAAAATATGACACCAGTTTGTTTATTTAGCCTAAAAATGTAATAGCTATCGTTAAAGACATCTCCAATAAAAACCTTTGTATTCACTTTTTCCCTAATTATTGACATTTCATTAGTTACGGTATTCGTACTTATTTAGTTGCTGTATATTCAATGTCCATTGACATCGGTCGTTAAATACACTAGGTTATTTTCTACAAAATTATATCTACAGTTATCTTCACAGTATTCTCATTTTGTTTTTTCATTACATTTTCTTTTCAATCTAAAACATATTACATCAGTCATTAAATCCAGCAATATTAACACTTTTCACTCATTCGCTCAGAAAGCAATTATCGATAGTCATCATGTTGCTCCAGCATTTCTATTCATTTTTCCTTTGTTCCAAAAAATATGTCCCCGTTTTCCCCACTCTTTCAAATCAGGCACAGGCCACTGCGCAGGATTTGGAATATGATCCGAGAAAAACCAAACGTCGAAAAGCGACAGCTTTGTCGGAACGTTTGATGTTTGTTTTGTCGATTTGCGGTGACCTTGAAGACACCATAATTATACCGCGCAGTCACGCGATCGCGCGGAAATTTATAATTTCCATTGCTCAACTCTAAATATGTTTTTACTAAGGGAGTAAATCACACAGTAATAACTGAAAGAAATAATTCAAAACAGTCGAAACTACAGTTGTTGCGCTTGGATCAAAATTGCTGGACACCTTAGTATACGGTGTTGCACTGATCTAGCTGGCCACATGCAAATAGACACCATATTTTCGATCATGCGCCATCGAAAACCGACCCAGCGTGAAAGAGTCTTTGTCGCTTCTCGGCGTTTGGTTATTCTCGGATATGATAGCCGCCATCTTGGTCAGCTGACAGTTGGAAAAATTGTTAACAGGAGTGCGTTTAGAAACCACGCACGGCGCGTCTGGACCCTATTCTAATGTATGTGGTGAGACGCGCCGTGCGGGGTTTCTAAACGCACTCCAGATGATGCGACAATTGACAGCTGTTATCCCCGACTCATGACCTTGAAAGAGACAAAAATTGCTATTTTGAACCTTAACGATTTTCCATGTTAATTTACATGAGGAATGGCCCTGAACTCCTATAGCCCATTTATTCCAGTGATATTACAAAGAGAAAATATTGAGAACAAAATTATGTAACTTTTAAGAGCCGTAAAATATGAATGCGATGAACGTTTATGATGAATAGTCTAAAGCACACCATTACATTTTGGCGTTTATATTTTTTGGCATCGTCAACCAAATCTTTACTTTTTAATATTTTGCTTCGGTTAAAATGAGTTTTTAATTAGTTAATTAAAATGAATTTTACTGAGAAATCAATGAACTTAATAGTATGATGTAACTTTGTAACAATTATAATATTATTGGCACATCATCTACCTTACAAATGCTTGCATCTTTAAAAGATATAAATAATGAAGATGTAACCGTTTACGTTTACCGTGGCAAATTTCCTTATAGGTATTTAAATTTAAAGAAAGCAAATCGCAATCAGTCACGACCTGAGACCCGAGGAACTTTTTTTCAAAATAATTATAACTTCCTTCTTCTTTCTCTTCCTTTTCTTCATCTTATTGCCGATGAAATTTACAAACAATAGTCTTTACAATAGGATTTATGAAGGTAATCGGAGGTCGTTTATAGGTTAAAATTATTACGTCGTCAATGTTTTGTTCAATACAGAAACCATTTCTCCTTCGTCTCGGTATTTCAATAAACCACGTTTATATTTTTATCGAGTTTCATTCTAATGTTACACTAGAAATAATATTTTAGAGGGTTAAAATCAAACTAAAAAGAAAAACAAAAATAATAAATCAGAAAACATTTTATTTAAATTTTTATAATATAATTTTCGGCAATTAATATTGTTCTTCTGTTCCTTCAACCTAAAATCAATCGAATAACCCGAGAAAAATACACTAAGGACCCATAGAGTATCCATATAATATTTTTAAATAGTAAAACATGTTTTTTTATTTGCAGGTTGTTGTTGGGTACTTCCTAGTACCCTCCGAAAGTACTCCTGTTAGTCTCTCGCGCTCAAAGAGATCCTTTCATGAACCAGAAGGTTACTGGAGCAAGAAGTTAACATGGAAGACAGAATGGGTAAAAATATGGAAGACTGAAAAGAAACTTATATGGAAACAAGAATGGAAAAAAAGGCAGGTACCAGCCTGGAAGGAAATCCAAGTTCCAATTTGGAAAGAAATCCAGGTACCAGATTGGAAAGTAATATCCAAGCCAATTTGGAAGGAGACACAAGTTCCGGCGTGGAAGGAAATTCAAGTTCCGGATTGGAAAGAAGTTAAAGTTCCAGCCTGGAAGGAAATACAAGTTCCAGACTGGAAGGAAATTCAAGTACCAGACTGGAAAGAAATTCAAGTACCTGCGTGGAAACAAATATGGGTACCTGTTTGGAAGGAAATTCAAGTTCCTGCCTGGAAGGAAATACAAGTACCCGATTGGAAAAAATCATACCAACCAGAATGGGTGAAAGAGGGGATCCATGGAGAGCACTATTTGGGTAAAGATGACCATGGTAGTGAATACACGGCACATGATATCTGGAAGAAGAAACTCATTTGGAAACCTGTCTGGAAAAAAGTATGGAAAACAGAGAAAAAGCAAATATGGATACCTAAGAAGAAAATGGAATGGAAATCCGAATGGAAACAAATCTGGAAAACCGAAAAGAAACAAATTTGGAGGACGGAAAAAAAACAAATTTGGAGGACAGAAAAAGTACAGATTTGGATTCCTAAAAAAGAGCAAATTTGGAGGACGGAGAAAAAACAAATCTGGGTCCCCAAAAAAGAGCTAGTTTGGAAACAAGAAAAAGTACAAATCTGGAGAACTGAAAAAATTCAAAAGTGGGTAACAGAAAAGAAAGAAATCTGGAAAGATGAATATAAACAAATTTGGGTTCCGGTATGGAAATCTATAGAAGTACCAGCGTGGAAGAAGATATCAAAACCTGTTTGGGAGAAAGTCTGGGTGAAGGTCCATAAACACCACGGCTGGGATTAATATTTGTAAAAAGGTTATAAATTGTTTTTTTCTGTACATAATTCTTTCGTTTTAGTTTGGTAAGGCCGTTGGAAAATTCTTCATTTTTTGATAAAATTGATAAAATAAATAACTATTTATATATATACACACACCCACAGAATAGTAAGGATACTGACTTTAGTTTGCTTGTTAAGTACTTTTAATTGGTGTTTTTAACTTTATGCAAGATCAAGTTTCAGTTTAGAAAAACTCAATCTGAAATTGTTTAAAAAATATATAAATATTTAATTATTAAAAGACTGAACCAGATATGGTCTGAGTACGATACATTTTTAAAACGTATCTTTGACTATATATAGGAGGGGCATTAAATATTCATTTAAACACTAAGGTAATAATGTTAGATGTTATAACGAACTTGTTCTAACTTATCTATTCTTTTGTACAGCTTAAACTAGATTCCAGATAGCATCTTTTGTTTTTTCTTTCTATTCTTTGCATCATTTTTTTCTTGTTTAACCCTAAGCTTTATATCCTTAGCCTAGCTCTATCAATTAACATCTAAAATTACCATTAAGTAATGCAGCTATTATTACCTTTATTTTATTATATTTTTTTGAATAGCGTTCAAATATATTTAACAATTGACTGAAGTAAGTTTACTTTTTATTTTTCTGTGTTAGATAAATTATATAAAAATTGGAAAAGCCATCTCTCACAGAGTAATCCAATTTTTGTTTTATTTTGGATTTTATTAAAAATTGAATAGTTCAGCGGTACGGTCTAGCTAATTTTAAGTACAAAACATTGTATATATGACAGGTTCGCCAATGAGTAATTTGTAATAATTTTTAAGCTTGTAATTATTGTTTGTTATATTTGTTTTTATGTTTAAGGATTCGAAATAAAGTGTTTTATAATTAACTCCAATTCCTTATTATACATGTACGATATATTCGCGTAATTTGACTGACTGAATGAGTTTGTTCTAAAAGTAAACATTTTCTCTTTGCCTGCCCGCGGAAAACGTTTTGATAATTCCGGAGATAATCTCAGTTCAACAGTAAGAAATTCATAACTACTCTTGAACTACAAAGTTCAGTTTAGTTCAGTTCTCAGTGCAAATAGTAAGCATACATTTAAATTACCTACTTAATGTTAGTTTTTATTTTGTTCAGCAAATTTGTCCATTTTTGCATCCGTAAAAAACATTTTCTCCAATCTTGTGGCCGTAGTTTTTTTAATTTTTGAGAGCATCAACCGCTTCTTCGGCCGATGAAAAACTCCTTTACTCGCAGAAATAAGAAAGAGTCTATAGGTGCTAGGTCTGGAATATACAGCCAATGGTCCATTATTTTTTTATTGATAACACTTAAGTTCGTCAATAGATACTGAACAAGAACTGAAAGAAAATAATTGGTTTACAAACAGTAGAGAAAATGGTACTTAACTATTTTGTCTTTGTTTATTTATATATATATATATATATATATATATATATATATATATATATATATATATATATATATATATATATATACATCTTTATATCCTTTCTGAGCCAATTGTAGTTTCATACAAAACTGCTCCACTAGGAAAACAATGAGTTTTCGTCTATTTGTCCGCATATATATGTTAGTTCTTATAAAACTTTCCTAATTTTGCAAAATATACAACAAAAAAACAATTTTTAGCAAAAAAGTTTATACAAAATAAATAACACAATCTTGAACCAAACGTCTTGTACCATCTTGAGCCATTTATATAATTTAGACAAAATAAATAACACATTCCTGAACCAAACGTCTTTTGCTATCTTGAACCATTTATATAATTAAGACAAAATAAAAAACACTTTTCTGAACCAAACGTCTTGTACTATCTTGAACCATTTATGTTTACAACTAAAAAGCAATTATGGTCCACAGGATATTTTAACACGTTGACTGCCAACATTTCATATTCAGATAATACTTCTTCATGTAAAACTCATTTTAACGTATTTTATATTTCTAATTTCAATTTATAGTTCACTGTAAGAAGTATTTTAATTTATTTTCGTAAGTATTTCAGAGGCATTTAAAATTATTTTATAATTTTCAAAATTGAACAATCCAATCTTGAACATTTTTCTGTTTCTGGTTTTTCTAGATTAGCGTTTGAGGTGATGTTTATTAAAAAACGAATATATAATTTAAGGGTCTGTTTTGACATGAATAGAAAATAGTAGGGTGAAAGGGGTAAATGTAATCTAATTTATAATAAGTTAATTTATCATAAGTTAAATTTTTATTCAAAATAAGTTACGAAGAACATATTTTGTATTCAATTTAAATTTATTTTAAATTGTTTTAATTTATTTTATTTTTTTAATTTAAATTTATATGAATTTATTCCAATGTATTTGAATTTATTTAAATTTATTTAAATTTATTTAAATTTATTTAAATTTATTTAAATTTATTTAAATTTATTTAAATTTATTTAAATTTATTTAAATTTATTTAAATTTATTTAAATTTATTTAAATTTATTTAAATTTATTTAAATTTATTTAAATTTATTTAAATTTATTTAAATTTATTTAAATTTATTTAAATTTATTTAAATTTATTTAAATTTATTTAAATTTATTTAAATTTATTTAAATTTATTTAAATTTATTTAAATTTATTTAAATTTATTTAAATTTATTTAAATTTATTTAAATTTATTTAAATTTATTTAAATTTATTTAAATTTATTTAAATTTATTTAAATTTATTTAAATTTATTTAAATTTATTTAAATTTATTTAAATTTATTTAAATTTATTTAAATTTATTTATTGTTGTATTTTTATTTATTTTTATTAATTTTTATTTATTTTTATTTATTTTTTTCTATTTATATTTATTTATTTTTATTTATTTTTATTTTTATTTATTTTTATTTATTTTTATTTATTTTTATTTATTTTTATTTATTTTTATTTATTTTTATGTATTTTTATTTCAATTTCATTTCATTTATTTATTTATTTATTTATTTTTAATTATTTTTGTTTATTTTAATTTATTTTTATTATTATTTTTACGATATTCCCATACAAACTTTCACCCCACACTGTCCCCTTAAAATACAAAAACCCCTATGCACGTCATTATTTATTTATGATGAGTGGTACCAATTTCAATTTTTAAGTTCCTACCTAAAAATCGATACTTCTATTCAAATTTTCCTTTTTTTCCGTTTCGCTCTTAAAATGTGAAAACCCAAAACCGTGAAATACGTCGCTATTAATTAAATTGTAATTTAAATTTTATTGTTTTTAACTTTAAAGAACCAGTTACCTACTTTTATAAAAAGTTTTCCCTTCTTAAATTTGAAGTCTCCAAAAATATTTTCTTAGGGGATATTTACGTTATTAAATAAATCTATGTTTTAAATTTCAGCTTTCTAGACTTGGCAGTTTTGGCTCTGCGTTGATAGATCAGCTAGTCCGTCAGGACTAACTATTTTATATATTTAGATGACAGATTTCGTCTTTGAAATAAGCAATAAGCGGTAAAAATAGTGGGTATATGTATAAGTACTACACAATGTATTATTTTCTATTGTATTAAATTCCGCTACGGGTTTCAACACATTCACGCAGAAGCATTTTACTTGACATAGGTATTGTACACTTTTTTGGCAGATTATAATAATTTCGGTTAGTTTTGGTATTTTATATTTTTTTAATAACAATCTAATAGACAAAGCAGTCTATTTTTATGACAAAATCTACAGGATAAGCGGTCCATTTTCTATGAAAATATCTACTAATAAGCGGCACGAACTATTTTACGAAAGGTTCATAACTTTTTAAGGCGATCCCTAAGGACTGCCATGGTCTTGTACTTGTACAATGTTTTCACAGCGGTCCACATGGACCGATTTGGTCATTAACGTGTTCAAATATTGTAAGCCGCTAAAAGAATCTAATAATATTCCGCTACGGCTGCATACAAGCAATAGTTCAGGATTGTTGTTATACAGATATACAAATCGAGGCGACTAGAGCGCCACCATCCCAGAATGCGGAAAATGTTGGAACTAAAGATTGGAGTTTCGTCCAAATCTGAGCCATTTTCAAATTTATTCCAGGCAGTCTACAGGGTATTTTAAAGTGTTTTATAAGGGTCTCCCATCCTGAACCACATATACGGCTCAGGTTTGTTCGGATGGTTCAGGATATTACTGTCGAATATAGACGATTGGTTCAAGAAGATACTAAGGCGCTATATATATATATATATATATATATATATATATATATATATATATATATATATATATATATATATATAGATATATGTTACTTCATGATACTTCCTCATGATATTGTCACGAGCCTTTCGGTCGCGAGGGAGTCATTTTTAAATAGTGACTCTATGTGTTACCTGACTCGGGGAAATAAAAGAGCAGAGCAACAATTAACAATTTATTGAAGATAAAATAATACATCAACAAAGTTACAATAATATAAAAAGGGCCTTACCAAGGGTTAAACATCTAAAGGCGACGAGGGCACGTCACGTCGCTTCTTCTAATGGGATGCGAGACGATGATGAGACTCCGACCAATAGTGTCATTATTGTTAACCCAGCCGATTTTTATATTAAATCGATTAAGGTCAGTACCTACGTGTCTAGTTTAATGTTATATTTACTTTTATCAAGGACGTACTAATGAATTGCATCTAATATTTATCAAAATATTAAATAAAATATTATGCTGAATTATTTAATTTAACGAATGTATATTAAAATAGAAAATGTATATTTTATATATAGGATGATAATTGTTTAGCGTCACAATATGAATATGTATATAAAAAGTTAAAATTATTAAAGTAAACTACGAAAAAGACAGGCATTTATTGATGGACTACAAGATGTGGAAATGCAGTAAGAAAGAAACTGATTGCAGCCCAAGAACATGAAGCAGCAAAACTCATATATAGATATTTTCGTGCAAAAGTAAGAGAAATTAGA